TTGTGTAGTTTCTGAAACACTAAGTTTATTCTTAGATGTCTCATGCAGCAATTACATCACTTTGTCGTGCACATAAGTTAGCATGTGAGCTATATCCTTCTCGTGAGGTGGCAATATGTATGGATCCTTATTGTGGTCTTGGATTTGTTTTATGGTGTTTAAGCAGGTATTTTGTTTTAGAAAGTTTTACCAGTTTTATAAAACTTTTTATCAAGATTTTTTTTACCTAAGTTATTAAGCAATTGTAAATCATAATAATTGTGTGTGATCAATTTTTAAAATTTTAAATATCGAATAAGTGCATATAATACAGGAATAATTGTTTTGAAATATTTTCAAAAAAAATTGTAAATAATTTTGTAAACTTCAAAAAATGATTTTTTAAATTTATTTAAATGTAGTATTTATTCTGGTCACCACACTATTTTGATTCCTCCAATGGAGCTTGAGACATCACCAAGTTTATGGCTCCAGGCTGTCAGTCAATACAAAGGTTTATTCTTGATACTATTACTATGAAAATATTTTGTAAGAAACCTATTAACATATTTTTTTAATGGTATTTTTAGTTCGTGATACAACTTGTTCATACCCAGTTATGGAGCTATGTACAAAGCATCTTTCACAGCACATTAATACTCTTAAAGTTTGTTCCTAACAAAATATAAAACACTATTTTGATGTTTTTATTGAATGAGGAAGAGGGAGCTTTAGTTTGTAACATCTAATATGTGATAGAACTATAAATTTATAGTTTAAAAACTCTCTTTTTTTAAATTTTTTAGGCAAAACATGTCAGTTTGTCATCACTACGAACATGTGTTGTTGTTGCTGAAGAACGTCCTAGAATTGCACTTATACAAAGATTTAGTGCTTTGTTTGCATCCCTTGGATTATCACCAAAAGCCGTTAGTACATCTTTTGGATCACGAGTCAATATTGCAATATGTATGCAGGTGTGTAATTTTTTTTTTCACATTTGTATATAAGAGCTTACAATTAAAGTAGTTTTTTGGAGTACTTTTTATATAAAGGAAGCATCTCATCCTGAAGCAAGCATGGTTTATATTGATACTCGATCATTAAGGCATGATCGCATTCAGCAAGTAGAAAGAGGAGCTCCTCACAGTTTGTGTCTTATGGAGTCAGGGAGGGTAGGTCATTTTGTTTAAAAGAAAAACTTTTATATTTTTGCAGACTGTTTTTGTATTTTTATTTATATATTAAAATTATTATTAGTTTAGAAATCAAATCTAACACATAAAAACAATATCAAATCCAACTTATAAAAACAAAATCAAATCCAACACATAAGAACAAATTCAAATCCAACACATAAGAACAAATTCAAATCCAACACATAAAAACAAATTAAAATATGCATAAGAACAAATTCAACACAAATAGTAAACATAATAAGAATAATCGTATGTTTATATATAAAAGAAAAGTTGATGCAATAACCATTAACAACCAAGTTGATGACAAGCACTTTTCTAAAGTGGAAAATAATAGACTAACATGATTAGAAAAAGTTTATCAGTTCGTTTGCATATATCATAGTTTGTTATAGTTTATCATAGTTATATTTTATATTCATAGCAAAAAAATTAATTTTTTTTTTTTTTTGTTGCGTTCTTTTTAGTCTTGCAAACAGTTAATAGTTTGAGACTTAAGAATATCTCTATAGCAACAGGTATTAGTTTGAGACCTGGGAATATCTCTATAGCAGTCTTATGTCAAGAAGTTGTATTTTTTTATGTGTGTTAAATACTAATCTAGTCTTATTCTTACAAAACCATATGTGCTGATTATTTCAGTATTGTGAGCTTTTATCCAGTTAAGTAGACATAAATTATTAAAAGTACAGTAAACAGCTAAAATTGCAAATCTCACCTTGTAAAAATATTAGTTTTTTTCTGTAGTGTAGTGATTGAACTATGTTTTATTAATTGTCTCATGTTGCATTTTTTTTGTTGGTCCAAATCGCACCTAAATTCTTTATCTGTGTTTTTTATTTTTATTTTCTTAATCATCTGTGAGCAAACATAAGCGGAACCATTTCAAATAATAAGAATTATTATGCAACATTTCAAATATAAAGAATTATTATGCAAAATTAATATGGGCTACTATAGCATAATGTTGTTGACACAAAGGTGTTTTTAAACACTATTATATTTTTGACACTGGTATTATACTCTTAGCCACCGATATATACAATTGACACTGATGTTACAGTTTGGACTACTGACACTGCTGTAAATACATTGATTTTGAGGCTACTATTACCTTTCAGCGCTAGTATTATTTTTTGCAAAAAATTTATTATATTAAACTCATTTTATTGTTTATTAGATATTGCCTGGAGTAAAAGTTGTGATTGCTAACCCTGAAAGTAAAGGTCAATGTGTTGATTCGCAACTTGGAGAGGTAATATTTACACATTAATAAGTCTACTTAAATGTATTGTCTTTCACATTTTATGTATTGTACAACAGAAACAAATGTTTACACTTACTATGATTAATAAAGTGCTATATATGACAAAGTAATGTAATGTAATATTTTTGTATGCAAAACAAACTTGTATATGCTTTAGTTTGCCACTAAAAAAGTTTGAAATTTGTTAAAAAGTCAAATTTTTTCCAAAAAGTGCATTATTTTTTTAAGGTCAGGTCAGGAATAAAAGATTTTTGAAAAAAGTTAAAAATAAAAAGATTTAATTTAAATATATATAATTTTAAAATATGGATATATTTATATATATATATATATATATATATATATATATATATATATATATATATATATATATTAGGGTAATAACTATTTTCATTTTTTTTTGTAATGAAACTGAAACCTATCACATTCGAGGAACAATTATATGCAGATGACAGTAGCAACGTTAATTTTTTTTTAAATTGAAAAAAGTACCCCCGCCTTTCAATTTTTATTTTTTCTTATATCGCTCAATGAGGTATTTTCACGAATAAACAATACCATGATAATGATCAACAATCACGTGATGGATAAGAGATGCTTTTCTATTACTTTGAGCCTATTTGTTTACATAACTATAACCTCTTAATCACTGATCTGTATATATTATATCTATGCTCTCAAAAAAAAACAAAAAACAAAGCCATTATTCCGTTATTAATCAATCAATTATATTTATCCATCACGTGACGTTTTTAAAAAGTTTTCCGGCTCATTAAAATACCTCATTTGTTTAACAATTTAAATTTCACACTGACTTTTTATGTAATGTTCTAGGCTGCTTTTAAGCACATTTCTGTCAACTTTCTGTTTCTATTTGTTTATAAGAAAAAAACATTTACAGGTCGTAGTTAACTTTTTTATTTTTATTGATCTCAGCTTAAACAGTGTAAACTCGCTCCAACATGGGGCAAGTTTATTAAAAATAATTATTTTATTATTGATATATTTTATTTTCTGTTTCAGGTGCAAACATAAAATATATATATTCTGGAATATTTTATAACATTTTGGAATATTGTAGATTAATTACCTCGTTTTCAGTGCAAGAAGTCATCCAGAAAAGACATTTTGTCACTTCAATAAAATGTCTTATAGATGTTCCAGAAATAGTATAGAATCAAACAGGTGTATCTGGATAAAAAATCTACCCTATTCTTCCAAAAATAAAAGAAATCCAAAGATTTCTGTTAAAAAACTAACCAATCTCACGCAGATGCCGACAAACCGTCAAATTCTTGGAAACTTCACTTTTTTGTTCAATAGCGAGAAACGGCGACTGGATCGAATCAAGATTATGATTACAGATATAAAAAATGCTTTGGGAGGAAATTCTAGACTTTCCACTGTTATCCAGCGCTCTTATAAGAAAGAAGCTCAACAGTCTGATTGATTTATTTAACAAAAACAAAAAGAAACCATCTGATAAATTCACTGCAACACTTCAGTTATTTGATGTCACCAACGTTAATGGAAAATGGAAAAACACGGAAGATAAAAAGCTCTACCAGAGGCAAGTTGAGAGTGGAGGAAAGATTGGTTATTCAATGGTCAAACAAGCTCCTCTGGAATCAATCCACCCAAGAAAATGAATCCGACTATCAAAAACTCAATCTCAAGCCAGCTCTTCTCAATTGCATCCCACACAAACACATAAAACTGTCTCAGATTCTTCGGATTCTGAAACTTCTGTTTTCTCACCCGATTCGGGTGAGAAAACAGAAGTTTCAGAATCTAAAGAATCTGAGAAAAGAGTAATCTCTGAAGGACAGAAAATGAAAACCAAAATTGCTCAAAAACTTAAGGGCAAAGATCCATATTGTCTCCAGTTTGATGGTAAAAGAGTGCATGGGGAAGAATACCAAGTAGTTCTGCTAAAAAATATGACTACCGAAATCAAACTCGGTATTCTTAAATGTGAGAGTGGTTCTGCTGCGGCCATTCACAAGGAACTACATCAGCTAATTGATGAATACAATGCTTGGGAAAATATTTGCATGATAATCTGTGACACGACTGCAGTAAATACTGGTTGTCTGCATGGGATTGTAAAGCTAATACAAGATGATGTTTTGAGCAAGGGCTTTAAGAAACCACAATATATTGGCTGTCAGCACCATGTTCTCGACTTCCTTCTGAAACATATCATGAATTTTTTTATTCAAGAGCCAATGAGCAAACCAGAACTCAATTATTCCTTCATTGATAAATTAACAGAAAATTATGTTTCTCTTCAGCATGATTACCGCCTATATGCGACAGATGATGTTAACACAGGCAAAAACCCTGCATGGCGAGATGATTTCAAGTTCTTATATGAACTATGTCAAGCGTATCGTCATTACAAAACAACTTCACGCTGGCCTCGAATAAACTGGAGGAAACTCCCAAATGTACACCAAGCAAGATGGAACTCACATGCAATATATGCTGTTATAGCATTATTCCTGATGCCACAGTGGCGCACCACCCTCGTTCCAGCATGTGACTTCATCTGCTACGAATGGGCAAATGCTTGGTTCCATTCGCAACACTACAATGAAGCATCCTTCAATTAACTATTAACCTCACTCATCAAGATAAAATGCAAGAAAGCAATTAAGTGTTTAAAGACACATTGGTCAATCGAGGAGTCATTCATTGATATTCCCAGATCTAACCAAATTGCTGAATGTGCGGTAAAACTGATGGAGGAACTTCATGAAGAATCAAGAAAATTTGAGTTTTTGAATTTGAAGTTCCTTGGAAAAAATAACTTTTAAACATTTCATGTATATTTTGTACATATTACTAATGTTCTCCATCTTATTTGTTCATAAAAGTTGCTTAGATAAGCTATTACTTTTATTATTTTGGATAAAGCTAAAAAACATGTCCTTTTTTGAATATATATTGAAATATATATATATATATATATATATATATATATATATATATATATATATATATATATATATATATATATATATATATATATATATATATATATATATATATATTCTTTCCAATAAAATCCAAACCAAAAAGAACACAATGGTTTTCAAGTCAGGATTTTGATTTTGATATTTTTTATTCTAATTCACTCAACAAGATTGCACAATTAAATGTTATAAAATATATCATTTTAAATAATAGATCTATTTAATATTAAGTTTATATAATCTAAATATATCTAATAAATCTATATATACTCTCTGTTTAAATGTTAAATTAACTTAATAAACCTATATAAAGAAACAAAGTTTCAAATGAATCAAACGCATCAATCATCAAAAAACTGTCTGATAAATTTAAACTTGATTTTTTAAACAAATTGATAACAAATTACTAAAATTATAGGTTTGTTAACAAAACAACTCGATGCAAGTTTAGAACGTGTTTGAATGTTTTAGAAACAAAATCTTGTTAGTGTTCAAAATCTTGCAACCATTATTAAGTTAGGAGTTACTAGAAAACAAAGGATAAAGTTAAAGAGCAATAAACAATTGACAAAACGCTCAAAAAGTCGTAGGTTGTATGAGCAGGGTTGCACAAAAACAGTTTTTTTTTAAAAAAAAACAAAAACCATAGGTATTTTTTTTAAAAAAACCATGGTTTTTTTGGTTTAAATTAGGTTTTTACTAAAAAATGCTGTATTTAGTTATCCTTTTAAATTAAAAAAAGCATAACGTATTTTATTTAAATAAATTATATTCTTTATCAATATTATTGTTATATTTCATCAAAATTATTTAATATATCATTGTTTAATGTTCTATACATAAATACTTTGCTGCTTCGGTTTCTTAACTTAAAATGAACAAGACTAAAAGTTGAAAAAATTCTTTTGATTCCAGCACTAGAAGCTGGTGCATTTAATAAACCCTCAATATCCATTATGTTATAGTTGATTTGGTTTTTAATTTGAATAATATTGGTAACTAAATCTTGAACTCTTTATCTGCGAAATTCATGGCAGCTTCATTTTCATTTTCAGAAAGATTAGATCCAAAATATCTAGGATCTAGTGTGTTTGCTAGGAAATGAGCATCACTGACAGTCTGAAGGTATCTAGATTCAATTTTTTTTTTTTTTTTTTTTTGATAAAAATGATAAACTGTTCATCAAATCTTTAAAAATTTCAAGAGTCGCTTATTTTTGTTTGATCTCTTTGCAACTTATCTAGAGCTACTGCAATTGGTTTCAATATTTTCAATAAATCTTCTGTGTTTTGCTTTATCTGTATATCACTTACTTTTTTACCAATCACGGGATCCAAATCTTTATTTTTTTCAAACATTGTAAAAATAATGCTCCAGTTGTTGACATATTTTTCAAGTGAATCATACAGAATTCCAGCTAATTTAAGTAGGAAGTGGCAATTTTGTTCCTCCGCTTAATTTATAAATTGCTCCAGCTTGATGATTATTTCTTATATATTTTATTATTTGTGTTACATGCTTGCTCACATTTTCAATGTTAAGATCATTTGCTAAAAAATTCAGCATATGAGCAGCACACCCATAAGTTATGATAATATCTCTTTCAGATGACAATACTTGTCTCATTGATTTCACATTAGCTGCATTGTCAGTCATAAAGCTTTTTACTGTGCATCCAAATTTACGTCTTACAAAATCTATTGATTCTCTTGCAAATTGTGTAAAATTCACCAGTATGTGAATGACCAGAAGTATTGATTGTTTCTACTAAAATGTTAATTTTATCTGTAATTACAGAAATACAAACTATAGGTTCATTATGTACATTACTCCAGCCATCTAAAGACATGGCTACAATTTTCCCATTCAATACATTACATTTTTCAATTTCTTCTGTGTAAACCCTATCTAATATTTCACCTCCAATTTCAGTTCTATTAGGTAGAGTGTATCCTGGATGAAGCATTGTAAGTTCAAATCTTTTTAAGAAAACATTACTTTGGTTTAAACCAACATTTTTTTAATTGGTTTAAACTATTTGGTTAAAACCATGCAACCCTGTGTATGAGTCTGGAAAACATGGAGATGGAAGAGAGTTCCAAAGGGTTAAAGTGCAGGGGAAAAAAACTAGACAAATAAAAGTTTTTAGAGCATGCAGGGACAGATACAGTAAATAGCTGAGATTTTTCTAAATGAGTCACAGAACTTGCTGAATGAGAACTAATGAGTCAAGCAATAATGAATGTTTTTAATAACAACCATGATAGTATTTCTAAAAAAGAGAAAGAGATTAAACTTTATGACGTTGAGAGAAAGCTCGGCATTTAAAGCAGATCCAACTACATTTAAAATGCGTTTTTGAACCTTGTCTAAAAGAGAAAGAGCATCATTAAAAGAACCAGCCCAAATATAACAACAGTATTCTATACAAGTACAAATAAGAGATTTGTAGAGAATGGAATCAGAGCTTAGCATCAGACAGCACCTTTTTACATAGACTGCTTGCAATAATAATTAGGGTTTTTTTTTCTAAAGAGAGTTGTTCTTTTGAAAAAGATAAAAAACATGATTACAATTATATATAGCATCGTGCATTAGATGGAGGCGGTGAGGCTAGGGCTATTGCTCTCGACATATCAAAAGCTTTCGACAAAGTTTGGCATGCTGGTCTTCTCCATAAGCTTGCTTCATATGGTGTTTCTGGGAAAGTTTTTGAGATTATCAAATCATTTCTTTCTAACCGGTTTATTAAAGTCATCCTTGAAGGCCAACACTCTTCTTTGTTTCCAGTAACTTCTGGGGTTCCCCAAGGTTCCATCCTGGGCCCTGTTTTGTTTCTTATCTACATAAACAATCTTCCTGACAACCTTTTATCTAAAGTAGCTCTTTTTGCTGATGACTCAACTTTATACTCCTGTCTTGACAAAAAGTCCTCTCTTTTCGATCGCCTAGAACAAGCAGCTGATCTTGAATCCGATCTCACTTCATTAATAGATTGGGGTTCACAGTGGCTTGTGAATTTTAACTCTAAAAAAACCCAGTTGCTTACTGCAAACAACTACCGTAATATGGTCAACATTCCTATATTAATGAATGGCAATCCTCTTACTGAGTCCTCCTCTTTACGTCTTCTTGGATTATCGCTTACTACTGACCTTTCATGGAAACCATATATACAATCGATTGCTAAATTAGCTTCTGCTAAGGTTGCTTCTCTTTATCGTGCTCGCCATTTCCTTACTTCTGATTCCATTCTCTACCTCTACAAATCTCTTATTCGTCCCTGTATGGAATACTGTTGTCATATTTGGGCTGGTTCTTCTAGCGATTCACTTTCTCTTCTTGACAAGGTCCAAAAACGCATTGTAAATGTTGTTGGACCTGGACTATCTGCTAAGCTTGAACCTCTTTCCCATCGTCGTAAAGTTGCATCTCTTTCTCTTTTCTACAGATACTATCATGGTCACTGCTCAAAGGAGTTATCATCTCTAGTTCCATCAACTAAAATTCATTCTCGTTTTACTCGTCATTCAGCTAAGTCTCATTCGTTTTCTGTATCTGTCCCTGCATGCTCTAAAAACTTTTATTCATCTAGTTTTTTTCCCCGCACTTCAATCCTTTGGAACTCTCTCCCATCTTCATGTTTTCCTGACTCATACAACCTTCAACTTTTTAAGTCTTCTGTCAACCGTTTCCTTGCTCTATAACTCTGTTCTTTTTTTTTCCTAGTAACTCCCAACTTAATAGTGGTTGCTTGCAGCCTTGTTGGGAGTAAATGCAAATAAAAAAAAAAAAAAAAAAAGCTGCAGAAGAAGTTAAAAACCATGGAGTAGAATGAGGCTTAACTTGGAACCAACGAGAAGGAATAAAAGCTCCCATACCTGCCTGGATCCAGGAGATTAATAAAATCTAAAAGACGCTGTTCTTCATGCCATTTTATTAAAATTACTTATGTAGAAAACAAACAAACAAACAAAAAAACCAAACTGCAAAGCTGGTCCAGGAGTATTGCTCCTCTTAAATTTATTCTCTACTTTTGCAACAGCACCATTTCAAAGGTGCAATAATGTTGGAAAGTCAGTTAATATGTATAAATAACAGTTTTAAACATTTTGAGTTTTCAAAACAGTTTAAATGGAAGGTGAAAAGGTTAACTTAATTAATACCTAAAAACATTGTATTCTTTGTATTTTTAGTTCTAATAAAATATATACAATAAAATAAGGTGGAGTTGCAATAAAGGTTGTTAAAATGCTTCGTGAGAAAGGTTCAGGACATGAAGATATAATTCTAATTGTAGATGAATTTTATCTTCAGAAACAGGAACAATATTGTAGTGGCATCTATGTGGGTGCAGATGCACACTGTACAAAGGAATTGTTGCATTTATGATTGTTAGTTTAAAGAAATCTATTCCTTATATTATAAAAGCAATACCTAAGTGGTAAATGTCTTTTGGATCATTGCTTCATTTTAATTTTGGTAATCAGTCAAGCTTATTAATTCATTCCCTAAAAATATTATTTTTTCAAAAATTTTTCAATTCCAGTATTATTTTATCAAATAGAACATATTTAGAGGGTGAGAGCAGGCATTTTAAAAAAAGGTTGTTTTTATTATCACCCTAACAGCCATGTAATACAGTAGGCTATGTTAGGGCACTGTTTACCTTTATGTTGTTTAAGATATCTATAAATATAATAATAATATAAATAATATATAAATATTGATTTCGAAAACTAAGAAATGGATGTCTATAAGTTAATGTCATAGTTTAAAAACTTCAACTATATCAAACAAACATTTTAAACAACTGTTTACCTTAAAATTGCAATTAATGTTTAACTTAGCATTTACAAATGATTATATTCGATTTTGAATAATAACTTTTGCATTACAATTCTTTTCACTATAAGTTGTAAAAAGTAATTTAACTTTAATTATTTATGAATAAACAAGTAACTCTGTACTTCACTACTTTGAAGTATGCAGTGAGCTGATAAATGATAAGCGAGGCATGCATGGAATCAACAAAACTTTTTGGTTCTTCTAACACTCTTACATTTTACTAATGTTTAATAAAATTAAAACTTTTTAAATGAAATAGTAAAAAAAATTTTTTAAAACCAAGATATGGATATCTTCGCAACATAACGGGAGCGGATATTTCAATGTTTCAGAAGATGACCAGTTAACCGAGGAACATTTTCGAGCTCATCTTGCAACTAATGATACATTGACAACATTTGCAAGAACTGGCTATTTAGGTTTTGTGAAGAGAACTGAGCTGACTCAAACAGACGGAGGTATTTTTTTGCATATATTTTAACTATAAATTATACCAGTAATTCTCAACCACTGTGCTGCAGCACTTTTGTTTGCCACCAAATTCTTATAGTGTTCCATCAAAGTTTAGGGGGTTTAAGAAAATTTTCAAAAGTACTTTTATAATAATATATAATACTTGGCGCCACACTTTAAGAAATTGTTGACACACAAAAAATCTACAGCACTGTGCTTAAGAACCACTTGTATTATGCAATTTGTAACCAACAGGGACCTATTAATCCTCATTACGTCTCTGATAGTATTGTGTTTAAACTGTTGTTCAGCCGCCTTGTTCATCAGGTTTTTTGGGAGTTATTTTTTTTAAGTGTGTATTGCAAAAACAGTTTTTTTAAAAAAATCAGTAATTTTTTAAACTTTAGTGGACCCCTCAGTTTTGGCGAGGTAAATACAGTCTAATCTTTATATTAACATGCTATGTAAACCAAATGACAAAATATGCAATAAACTAGGAGCCATTATAAAATGTGTATATATATATATATATATATATATATATATATATATATATATATATATATATATATATATATATATATATATATATATATATATATATATATATATATATATATATATATATATATATTATGAAAATAAAGCAGTTTAGATCTTCAAAGTATATTAAGTTTATACAACCTTACTTAGCAGTAAATATTTTGTATCTTTAAGATAAGTAAATGTTTTATTAGCACAAAACTTAATTCAGGTATAAAGTAGATAAAACATATAAGGAATAAAAGTTTCTTTTAATTAAATATTTATAATATATATATAAATATATATATGTATATATATATATATATATATATATATTTATATATATATATATATATATATATATATATATATATATATATATATATATATTATATATATATATATATATATATATATATATATATATATATATATATATATATATATATATATATATATATATATATTTATATATATATATATATATATATATATATATATATATATATATATATATATATATATATATATATATATATATCAAAGAATATATTTAAAAAAACTACTCCAAATTTCTTTTTTGTTCTGAAATCATAAAAGTCTGATATTAACATAAGTTTATTACAGAATGACTTTTGACACATTTTCTGTAAGTGGCTTAAACATCGCATAACAAAACAAAGTCCTTTGGCAGGCAATGTCAAACAGTGTGTTGAGACCTTCTTGATTAATCTCTTTAACATAGTCCCATATTTTTCGTAGTAATTTGTGTTCCTTCACCTGTTTGAGTTTTTGTAACATGCCCAGAAATGTAAGGCAGGGTTTTTTTAGCATACATATCCAGCTTTTCTTCCAGTTCAGGTTAATTATGAAAAACATTTGACAAATTGTCATTTAGTAAAAACTTTCATTTTTTGCAATCTGCTTGATTTTCTGCAATTTCTTCAATATTTATACCCTCTTGCAAAACTTTCTTTCATTCTCACTTTTCCTAGAATTTCCCATCAAAATCCCACATCCCTTGTTAAAGTATTTCCAACCTTTTTTCTAAAAGGTTTACTGTAAATATAATGAGTACCGCATATCGAGATCCAGAGTTAATAAGGTACTTGACAAGGGCAATCATACATGGGTACGTGTCCCAAAATGCTGTTCCTTTATCTTGTGTGAGCTGACACTGCCTTTCATAAGTCATAATGTAAAAAAATATTGCTCAATGTTCTCTGCGGTTCTCTACAAGTAAACTTTGAATAGAAAAACTGGTTGATACAGTTGTTATTACTAGTGATAGCAAAATAAATGTTTTGCTTGCTCAAACAAAAAATCAGTATTGAATTCAAATGGAAACACCTGACATACATATTTTTTACCGCAGCAAATTGAAACCAAAATAAAACTTAAAACAGTAGTTGCTATTAAATTAGGTTTATTTACAGTCGTTCCAAATAAATATCCTAAGCAATATGTAACTGAAGACACAGACTTCATCTATTAATAAATATGTTTATTTTTTAAACAGTTTTTTGATTTGTTGAATATCTCACTGATAAATTTAAAATCATCAAGAGAAGAATCAATTTTTAATGTAAGTTTTTGAAAAATATTCGGAAGCTTGTCTGTTATTGCAGTTTTTAAAACATGCAACAACAGCAGGTTTGGGTTTAGGCAGGCCTCCAATTGTTTCTCTTTAAAGATTATGTTTTCCTAGACAAGCCTAAAATAAGATAAAATAACAATGTTTTCTCAGTCTGTCATATAGTGATATAGATACTGAGTAATTCTCAAAAACCACGTATAGTTGTTTTTGGACTTTTTTGTTTATATGATTGTTAGACTCAAAGTGTTCCTGAAGCAAAGAATTTTTTTTTGAAAAATTAGCATCAAAGTGTTCCTGAAGCAAAGAAATTGTTTTGAAAAATTAGCATCAAAGTGTTCCTGAACCAAAGAAATTTTTTTGCTTTTTGTTGAAGTATCAAGGTATTTCCAAGCTTCCTAAAACTGTGTGAGTTAAATTTGGTCTGTTTTTTGATAAAGTTTGAATAGTATATGCACCACTATAAAATCTTTTATAAGTTTTTAATAAAAGTTTAGGTTTCGATGTATTGAATTTAAAAACAATATACTGTATACATAGTCTATTGATGCTTAAGCACCAATTAGATTGAGGCAAAAACTCTGGCACTTTTTTAAATGCTTAAAAATGACTTGTTTAATCTGGTGTTATATTACGCACTTCAGATAAAGTTTTAGCTGTTCCAGATAAACTTGGTTTTGTAGGAACCAGATAGTCTTAGTTTTATACAAGTAAATAGTGAAGGTATGTCATAGGGTCTTATTTTACCACGCTTACCTGTAGTTATATAGTTTAGTGGAATATGACGCTCACATACAGCACTATTGTTACTACCAAGAATGTGATCCCGTAGTATTATAGCAATCCACTAGCGCGTTTTTCTTTATCACTTACTAATCAAAATACATTTTTTTTATCACTTGCTAATCAAGACATATTTTCTTTATTACTTGCTAATCAAGACTCCTTTTCTTGGTTGTAATTGCCATTACAACTTATTTCATAATTTTTTTCAAATTTTGTGTTAGTTATAAATATCAAGTATACATCAGAACAATCAATTAATTTCTATGAATCAATTTATTATTTATTTACATTTGAAAAATGTCATAGAATGAAACCTTTATTCTAACATAGTGTAAAGTTTAAAAATTTGTTTTAGTATAAATCAATCATTTCTAATAATTACAGTTATTTAACTGATCAAGCGTAACTACCTTCAATGTAGTACAGTTATTTAAATAAAAGAGGCTATAAATAAAAATAAATAAATGAAATATGTAATAAATAATAACAAACTGTTTGATTATATATTATTAATAAAATTAAAAATAATAAAATGGTAGTAACAAGGAAAATCAAAGTGATAACATTATTGTAAAAAAAATAAAAACTTTCCATAAGGTTTTATCATTTTAACTATTCAATTATGCAAAACTTTTCGCTTATACACAGCATTTTATACTCGTTCCAGTTTATTTTGGGCGTTTACATGGCCTGTTAGTATTAAGATTTTCATGCTCTATCAATGCATAGAATCTTGCTTCACTAAAATAAGTGATTTTTTAGAAACATTTAGTTTAGTAAAATCACATTTGTTATTAATCTTTTTTTTTTTAATCTTTAGCTCCTCATGATGCTCTATTTATTGTTGGGGCATTAGATGAAGCCATCTTATTAAGAGGTCTTCGTTATCACCCCATTGATATAGAAATGAGTGTAGCACGTGGTCATAAAGGAATCGGAGAATGGTAAAAACTTAATTTATATTTTCTCTGGCTTTGTACTTGGTATAAAAGTTAAGTTCTAAACATTTTAATTTTATGTTTAACAGTGCTGTATTTACATGGAACAACTTGCTGGTGGTAGTAGTTGAGCTTGAAGGTGACGAAAAAGAAGCGCTAGATCTTGTTCCCTTAGTTACAACAATCGTACTCGAGGAGCATCAGGTAGTTGTGGGAGTGGTTGTTATAGTTGACCCTGGCGTTATTCCTTTAAATTCTCGTGGTGAAAAACAAAGAATGCATTTGCGTGACAGTTTTCTTGCTGATCAGTTAGATCCTATTTACGTTGCCTATAATATGTAGTCTTTTAATTAAACCCTTGATAATTGTATATTTTTTTGCTGCTTTTTGCTTTGTCATTTAATTAATTTTTAATAAACAATATATATATATATATATATATATATATATATATATATATATATATATATATATATATATATATATATATATATATATAAAACTCTTAGGAATATAAATTTAATTTTTTCGTTTTATTTATTTTATTTTGTAAATGTTGTAAATTCACTTAAATTCCATGCATTGCGCAAAAGTGCGTAAATATATTTTAATTTTTAAAAAGATAATATTTTTGCAAATTTTTTTTTAAAATCTCGAAAATTTATCTGATTGTGTTTTATCTTGTTTTTCCATTATGATGATTTTATATTTTATATTGTTTTTTAATTCTTAAAAAAAAAAAAAAAAAAAAAAAAAACTAATCGATTTTATTTGATTATCTTTTCTCTCTTTGGGTTTCAAATTCATTCCTTATTTCTTGGATTTTAATAGATACATAATATGAGATGTAGTTTTCCATTACAAATATTTTTATAACGCTTTAAATTGGTTGCATTTTTCATTTTATATATTTTAAATGCTAGACTGAAAATAGTAATACAAAGACAAGCAAAAAAAAAAAACTTCTTGGTTTTAATTCCTAGTCAAATAGAACTTTCTTATTTTGTAACAAAAAAATGTCACGTTGACACTCCAGTCTGTAATATAAGTTTAATATTTTTGTTGAGTTCCTTGAAAAATCTTTTGAAGTTTTTTAGAGTTCAAAAAAGTGAAAGTGCTTTTATACCTAGATATTATAACTTTTATGATTGGTTAGAGCTCCGTGATGCACGGATTTTTAATATTGATCCTCCGTAGACATTTATAATGCAAATAAAAGTGGAATGACCCTAGCCAAAAAGTCCTTTAGGACCTATAGGATTTTGGAACAAAAAAAAAAAGACAAAACTTGATAACTATAAACACTTTTTAACTATAAACGTGTTTTTATTTAATAGAGTTCAAATCTTAAATTTTTTTTGTTTCAAATTCTTATATATAGGGCTTTTTGACTAGGGAATGCACGCAAATATGTTTTAACTATAGTTAAAAATTTTTTGTAATTTATTTCAAAGCCGAAAATGTAAAAACTATTTCAAAAACGAAGAAAAACAGTTATATTGAAATCTCATTATAGAAATTATGAGCATAATATTTATAGGAGTTTAAGCATTTTATTAAGAAAAAAGTTTTATTTATAGATTTTCTGTCCATACCATGACCTTCCGTCAATGTATAGTAAATCCATGTTTTAGCTATCTACACCTTTTCAAGATGTAATTGAGAAAACAAAAATTGTAATTAAGAATAGTAAGATGTAATTGAGAAAACAAAAGTTGTAATTAAGAAACGTAAGATGTAATTGAGAAAACGTAAGTTGTAATTAAGAAACATAAGATTTAATTTAGAAAACGAAAATTGTAATTAAGAATCGTAACATGTAATTGAGAAAATGTAAGTTGTAATTAAGAAATAGAAAGATGTAATTGAGAACACGAAAATTTTAATTTAGATATCGCTTTAAAGGAGTAAGTGTAAAATGGCGCTTAAAAAAAATGGCGCGTAAAAAAATGGAGCGTATAAAATGACGTACTTAAAAATGACGCAAGATTTGGAGCGTAAATTTAATTTTTTAGGGAAAAATTTATAATTTTTGGGCAAATGAATTTAACATAATAAACACTAAAAACATTTTAGGGAAAAATTTATAATTCAATTAAAAATTATAATTAAAAATCACTTCATTGATCATTTAAGCACCAAATTGTACGTCTTCCATATTTAAAATAGTTGCAGCCGATTTCAAAGTCACTATTGTTGGCTGTAAGAAAAAAAAGAAGAGTTTAATAACCGAAAGTTCTCTTGTATAACTTAAAAGCAGCAAGTTATTTGGAGCATCTTTTTTTGTGTGTGCAGCTTTTTGATTTGCTATTTAAATTTTCTCTAAGATGAAATAGTAACGACACACTCCTCCTTTATATAAGTACATCAACGTCCGCCACTTGTTTCATATTTTAAATATTCTTGGCTTATAATGATTTTTTATCGCTCTAACATTTTTCAACTTAAATCAGCCGAATCATAGTCATAAAAATAAATAGTCTGGAAACACGGGTTGAAAACAATAGGTTTTGCCGTTGATGTTAGGTTCTTATCCGCGTTAGTACCCAGCCTACTTTAAGGTGCAAAACAAAACAAATTTCTTTAGAGATCTTGAATCAAAATACAATGCCTGGAGCAAATTGTTCAGTATATGGTTGTCATACCTCTCGTTATTCACATGGAATAGCTATATTCAGTCTTCCTAAAGGTCAGGATGACTTTTCCGTTCAATGGAAAAAAAAATTGAGCGAGATTATAACAAAAGATCGTTTAATTGATTCAGCTTTAAGGAAGCAAATTGCCAGTGAATCTTTGCATATTTGTGAGAGACACTTTAAAGAAGATGAAGTTAATAGAAGTAAGCTTAACTACTGTGCTTATATATATATATATATATATATATATATATATATATATATATATATATATATATATATATATATATATATATATATATATATATATATATATATATATATATATATATAGAGAGAGAGAGAGAGAGAGAGAGAGAGAGAGATTTATATATATATAATTTATATATATATATATATATATATATATATATATATATATATATATATATATATATATATATATAATTTTTATATATATATATATAATTTATATATATATATATATATAATTTATATATATATATATATATATATATATATATATATATATATATATATATATATATATATATATATATATAGATTCAACTAGAGCAAGACTTATACCAGGAACTCTACCTTCACAAAATTTACCAATAAAGAGTCTTCAAACAACCAGGTAAAAATTTTCAAAATAATATAAGCTTAGTTTTTCTCTATTTTTTTTTAATTTTTGTTTTTTAGTTTATTAAAAAAGACAAGGCTTTCGACACTAAGTATTACGTCAAAAAAAGATTGCAATGAATCAGGCAAAGTTCAAAATCATATACATTATTTTTATAAATCATTTCAAGAGTTTGTAGATCGAGTGAGCATACTAAAATTGGAATCATGGGAACTTGTTATATCGAAAGATTTAGTCAAAGTTTTTAAAGTAGACAACATTCACCTACAACCCCAATATGAAGTATATGTTCAACCTAGCCTTATATTTATAATACGATCTTTTGCTTGGAACTTACCAGATACGCATGATATTTATTTGAATTATAAACAATCAGTTAAAAACATTACTTTATCAAGTATTATTGCTCTTTTATCAACTTACTCATTGTGTCAGGGTGTTGCATCAGGTTCAAACTGTTTTAAAAAACATATTCTTACAAAATTGTACAATCCAAGTGTTAAATCAAGCACTACATTTGAGAGTGAATTTAATAGGTCAACTTTGTGTTTTTTATTGATAAATTCTGGCAATACTTGTAATGAATGTAAAACTTTGGAATTGTCACAAAATGCTAAACTACAAAAAGCTGTAAAACGTAAAGCTGAAACGCTGACAAAACCTGCTCATATAAATGCCCCCATCTCCATAACTTCTCCTGATAGAATTAAACTTACCTTGCAAAGCTATCGATCTGAAAATGCCATTTTGAAACAAGAAATGAAAAGTATGCAAGATGAGATTCAAAAAAATGCATTACGAGTAACCTCTGATTTTGATGGCGACATAAAAAATCTAATGTCAAATGCTTTTGATTTACACAGTGTTTCACCATTTATGAAATTTTTTTGGACTGAGCAGCAAAAATACCTTTTATCAAATCCAACATCTGTGCGATATCATCCGATGATTATAAGGTATTGCCTTAGTCTTTGTGCAAAATCTCCTAGTGCATACGAGGATATTCGCTATGATAAAACGTCTGGTACTGGTTTACTTGTATTACCAAGCCATCGTCGTCTTCGCGACTACAAGAATTATATTCATCCTCAACGTGGTTTTAATCCAGATATTATTAAAGAGTTAAAATCAAAAGTAAAAGATTTTAGTGATGTAGAAAAGTATATTGTGTTGTTGTTTGATGAGATTAAAATTCAAGAAAATCTTGTATGGGATAAACACACAGGAGAAATTATAGGATTTGTTGACCTTGGTGATATTAATTTAAATTACGCAACTTTAAAAAAAATTGATGCTGTAGCCACTCATGTTCTTGTGTTTATGATTCGCAGTATAGTTAACCCTTTTAAGTTTACACTAGCTAATTTTGCAACGCTTGGAATATCATCTGCTCAAATTTTTCCATTATTTTGGAAAGCTGTTGGTATTTGTGAAATGGAATGCAAGTTAAAAGTTATGGCTACAACTTGCGATGGTGCTTCTTCGAACAGAAAATTTTTTAAAATGCATTCACGCTTATCTAATTCGAATGTTAAACAGGATGTAGTTCTCACATATAAAACAATAAATTTATACTGTCCTGAAAGGTATATTTACTTTATAGCTGACCCTCCACATCTTCTAAAAACAACAAGAAACTGTATTTACAGCTCAGGCTCTGGTAAATGTACTAGATACATATGGAATGATGGTTTATACATTCTATGGAGTCACATCGCAGACATTTTTAAAGAAGATCAAATATGTGGTTTACATCTACTCCCGAAATTATCGTATGACCACATTAAATTGTCATCTTATTCTGTTATGAATGTCAAATTGGCAGCACAAGTTTTTTTTTTTTTTTTTTTTATTTTAATTCACCTCCTCAAGGCCGAGAAGGCCACTACAGACGAGGAGGCTACTTATTTGTGGCTATAACCCTCTCTCAACTCTATAACTCCGAAACACGAACCTTGACGAACAAGGCCGCTGCGCGGAGAAACGAGTTGAGCGCGGTACTACCAGGGACGTGGAGTTCTAAGCACTACTGTAAGTAAAGTCCTTCTTAACTATGGATCTCCAGATCACCGGTAGTTCTAAGCACTACT